TGACACCATCCTTGGAGGTTTTCAAGACCCAACTAGACAAAGCCTTGGCTATAATGATCTAGTTGGGGATGGTCCTGCTTTGATCAGGGGTTTGGATTAGATGACCTCCTGAGGTCCCTTCCAACCCTCATTTTCTATGAATCAGTGATTTTAGAACCATTATTTAAAAGGGCTGACAATCAAAAAGGAAAGGACCCCACCTTCATTCTCATTTTTCAGGATGAATTTACAGAACTAGCAGTTAAAGCATCCTTTCCCTCTATAATCCTTTTGACCCAAGAGCATCTTTGTTGTCATGCTTTTGGGATTGAAGAGTAGGAGTTACTGTGGCCTTGCTATCATGGTATAGATGTGCCCCTTCAGTGTGGGCAAGTTATATTCTCCTTCAATTTATTTCCTGATAGGCCATATACTCAATGGCACTAAGAAAAAACAGAATTACACTGTGGGTAATTGAGTGTATGTTCTTTCATATTATGAGGCTCTGTAGTGGTATGTGTATGTACACTGAAGATGATGAATACCTTGATTTTAAAAAGCAATTAACTTGCTAAGGTCTGGAGCTTCTAAATATGTTCCATTTTTCTAGTGAGGATCATGGGAGCACTAAGTATCTGTTTGAAAAAATTTAATAAATTATAAAAGGTAAAAATGGAGAGTTTTCTAATACGCAGCTATTGTCCCTTTTTTCCTTTATGTACAGAAGTGTGAAAGGTTACTGCTGTACCTCTACTGCCATGAAATGAGCCTTGCTTTTCAAGATCCAGTTCCTCCCACGGTAAGTAGATGACTTCCTGAGGTCCCTTCCAGCCCTAATTTTCTAAGTACATAATTTTGCCTTGTGATATTCACTAAAACACGTGGCACCACTGTTGGCATCACTGTTCCCGGTAATAACCCACCATCAGATGGATAAGTTACTTAGCTATTCAGTTTACCAAATGTTTGCTTTAATTGTTAAGATGGGCAAGGAATAGGCTACCTGTAGTGTTGAAAGTTCGAGAGCAATCCCGCATCACCATAAATTTTGTAGCTGAGATGCATTTGGAGGCATTTGTAGACTCTCACAGGGAACGGGCCTTCACCCACTAACTACAGCTAGTCATTCAAGGCTGAGAAGACTACAGTATGTCCCTTGCTATGCATGAGAAGTCTAAAGCCAAAAGGCTTGTGATATGGGTGTTTTTGTCACAAGCCCCAGGATCCTTCAAAAGTTTTTATATACAGATGAGGAGCAGGGCAGCCTGGTCCAGCTCCACCTCATGGAGGGTGGACCCACACTAATCATATCTGGTCAGGCTAAGGAAGGGAGCTACAGAGGGATTCTAGGTGAACTGTTTGGGTCCCTGTTTGGTGATGTTTGCCAGACATTTAAGGCTGGTGAGGAAACAGGAATCATTGGAAATGGGTAAGAAAGGTACAGCTTAGCTGTGGGAGTGAAGAAGTTTAAATATGTTCAATGTAGTGGCTGGAAAAAGAGTTGGCACTGAGGGGGACTCTGTGCAATGGGCACTGCCATGCATCTTATTCAGATTGGCTGCACTAACCTATATTTCTGGTATGTTCCTAGCCTTTTCTTTTAGGCTACCTAGCAAGGGAGATACCGTGATCAAGGCAGGGGACTTTACACTTTTTGTGGTTGGATCACATATGGTGGATTGTGAACCACTTTTCTGGTCTCCAGATCATTCTGGATCCTAACCCTGCCTTCCAGTGTCTGTGATTTCATCCAACTTGGTGCCATCAGCAAATTTGCTGAGTGTCCTTTTAGTCCCATTATTCAAATCGTAAGTGAAGATATTGAACAGTACTGGCCTCAGGAGAGACCCCCAGGGAGCTCTACTTGATATCTCTTTCCAAGTAAATATTGACTACTTGTTGAGTACAATCCAACTGGTGATGCAACCAGTTATGTACCCTGCCCTCCCTACAGTACTTTTGTCTAGTCTCTATTTCCTTAGCTTGTTAGTCAGTATGTCTTGGTTGGCAGTGTCAAAACCTTGCGAAAGTCAAGGTGCATCACACTGAGTACTCTCCCACACCCATACAGCCTGTCACCTGATAGAAGGAAATCATGTTGGTGAATCCATGCTGGCTGTTCCTGTTCACCTTTTTCTCTTTTCAGTGGGCTCATCTACTACTACACTATACTTTTGTGTCTCAAAAACCATGCCAAAACCATATTGCACAGTACTATTAGGCTACTGCACAGTAGTGTCACTTAAAAGGCATTCGCTGGCGCTACTGCACAGTAACTCCAGTTACTGTGCATTTATTTAGTACTTGCTTATACAAGTAGCAAATCAATCAGCAGTAACCACTATGCAGTAGCGGCTCATGTAAACACACCCCCTGACCTTGATACCATGATCTTTCCAGGTATCAAGGTCAGGTTGATTGGTCTAATTCCTCAGAACCTCTTTCTTCCCTTTCTTAAAGATGAGTGCTGTATTTGCCCTTTTACAGCCGTCTGGGATCTCACCCAAGCTCCAGAAATCCTCAAGAAGCATAACCAATGGCTCTGTAATTACCTCAGCCAATTTCTTCAGTACCTTAAGGTGCATCCCATCCAGCCCTGCCAACCTGAAAGCATCGAGCTTCTCTAACTAATCCCTAACCTGTTCTTCTACTACTTCAGCCTGTTTGTCTCCTTTCATATCTTTGCTGCCAGCTGCCCTTGTCATCTGATAGCTGTCCTATTCGTGAAGACTGCAGTAAAAAAGACATTAAATACTCTGCCTTCCCTGCATCATCCATAATTAGATTTGCCTTCTGCATTCTGTAAGGGATCTATAGTTTCTTTGGCCAGTGCCTTATTTTTCACATACTGGTAGAATCTCTCTTTATTATCTTTTATGTCCCTTGCCATTTGTCTTGGCCTTTGTAGTTTCCCCCCTGCCACCCCTGTGTGATACACTCATATTCACCTCTAGTAATGTGGCCAGTTTGCCACTTTTTCTAGGATTCCTTTTTGAGTTTTCAGCTCAATGAAGAGATTGCTGTCTAGCCACATTGGTCTCCTGCTACACTTCCCATTCTTCTGAACTCCTTTATCCTTCAGACTTGCTTCCCAGGGAATCCTGCCCACCAGCTTGCTAAAGTCTGCCTTTTTGAAGTCCAGTGTCTTTATTCTGCTGATCTCTTCCCTTCCTCCCATCTAGGATCTCGAACTCCGTTCCACGGTCACTGCCACCCAACTTGCTTTCCACCTTTTCTTTCTCAACTAATTCCTTTGTTTGTGAGCAGCAAATCAAGAAGAGTGTTTCCCCTTGTTGGCCTTTCTACCACTCAAAACAACGCTATCTCCAAAACATTCCCAAGAATTTTCTGAACTGCTTGTGCATTGCTGTGTTTCCCTCCAAGCAGATGACCCAATAATTAAAGTCCTCACAAGAACCAGATCCTGCAGTTTGCAAGCTGTTGTCAACTGCCTTTTCCACCTCCTCCTTGTTACAGGTTTGGTGACGTGGAGCAAACATTCCCATAACATCACTCTTGCTGCTCTCCCCTCTGAGCTTTACCCAGAGGCTTTTAGTAGACCTACTTTCCACCCTGTACTGCACCTCAGAACACATGTATGTTGCCTTTGTATATATAGGATAACAACATCTCCTTTTTTCCTCTCTCTGTTCTTCCTGGACAAGCTGTCCCCATCCATGACTGTCCTCCAGTTATGTGAACTAATCCCACCACATCTCTGTAATGCCAATTGCATCACAATTGTGTGATTTGTATATCTTCTCCCTGAGAACATTGCTAAGGCTTCCACTGTTGCTTCCACTGCCTGAGTGGTTTTTTTTGTTTGTTTGTTTTTATCTAGGTCCCCTGCTCCTTAACTTGCCTCTGGGCTTTCGTCTCCATCCCCAGTGAACCTTGTTTTAAAGCCCACCTCACCAGGTTAGCAAGCCTGTATACAAAATCATTCTTCCCTCTCTCCATCAGGGGGACCTGTCTCTTCCCAGCAGCCCATCTTGTTGGAATGTCACACCCCATGGTCAAAGCCCTGCTGGCAACACCAGCCATGTAGCCATGTGTTGAACTCCAAGATGTTTCTGTTCTTAGCTGGAGCTGTACCTTTGACTGGAAGGATCTGTGAGAACATTACCTACTTAACCCCTTCACCCTTGCACCCAGTAAGAAAAATTAAAAGCTTGGCTTGTTTAGTATAGCAAAATGAAAATTCAGAGAGGATATAGAAGGAGAATCCATCAGAATCTAATGGTTCTTTGGACTTGTATACTTAAACTACATCACACCTGGCTGGCTTTTATTCCCCAACTTGACTGACTAGAAATTTAGGAAATTTGGTTGTCACACCGGACAACAAAGCCAACGTATTTAACGATTTCTTTGCCTCCATTTTCCTAAGCAGGGACCGGAACAGTCACGCCCCCACTGGGCCCCCCTCAGGCCCCAAGGGAGACGCACCTAGGCGAAAGGTTAGTGAGGAACTAGTTAGGGAACTTCTGGAAGGACAGGATGTATTCAAGTCAGCTCGTCCGGACGATCTCCACCCTAGAGTACTAAGGGAATTAGCTGAGGTCATTGCAGGACCCCTGGCAAGGCTTTACAAGCACTCGTGGTGCTCTGGAGTGGTGCCAGAGGACTAGAAGAGGGCCAGTGTTGTTCCCATCTTCAAAAAGGGGAAGAAGGAGGACCCAGGAAACTACAGGCCAGTTAGTCTTACCTTGATCCTGAGCAAGCTTTTTGAAAGAATTATTCTGGCACATATCCACAAGGGGCCAGCAGGGGAGATCATGCTTAGGGGCAACCAACACGGGTTCATCAGTGGCAGGTCCTGTCAGACCATCCTGGTGGCCTTCTATGATCAGATCACCAAATCCTTAGATGCAGGGGTAGCAGTGGACATAGTCTTTCTGGACTTTCGGAAGGCCTTCGACACTGTCTCTCACCCTGTTCTCATTAAGAAACTGGGGGACTGTGGTGTCGACACCCACACAGTCAGTTGGGTTGCCAACTAGCTGGAGGGCCGTACCCAGAGAGTGGTAGTGGATGGGTCATTTTCGACCTGGAGGGATATGGGCAGTGGGGTTCTGCAGGGCTCGGTCCTCGGGCCTGCACTGTTCAATATCTTCATCAGTGACTTGGACAAGGGGGTAAAAAGCA